TGTACCAACTATGGTTAAAAATCCTGTCAACGAAGATCAGACTGAGGTCGCCAATCCAATGTGGAATTTTTTTTATTGGAAATCACTGTGCGAGCTCCGAAAAACACGTGTTACTAAAATCTTTTTTAATGTTGTCACTTTTATTTTATCACGTTTAAATTAAACCAATTTTCCTTTTATTATGAATAAGAAATCTGTAGCTGGTTCAAAGCACTTTCAAAACATCAATTAAAACAAAACAATAAAATGTCACCTAAATTATGTTAAGTTTTTTTTATAACAAGGAAATATTTTCAAGCAGTAATTGCTGAAGTTTTTAAAAATTTTTAAAACCGGAACAATTTTTTTTTTTTGTGTAAACCCAAAAATCCAAAAAGTTTCATGAAAATCAAACGTTCAGTTTAATGTGTCTAAGTTAATTTCAAAAATAAAGTGCAAAATTTGGCAGCGTTTTTACAAGCGATTGGCGCTCAACAACAATTGAGAAATCCAACTTTAATGGAAGAAATAGTTCCCAAGTTGCCTGTTCAGCATGGATTAGCATGGGCACGTTATTCCAAGCCGTTAGGAGATGAAAGATCAATCCAACATTTGAGTCTTTGTCTGAAAGGACTAGCCGAAGATATTCAAGAGGTTTGCTCGGTCGGCGATCACGCAGCCTTAAGCCAAGGAGCAAATTTTTTCACACTAACGAAGTCGGACTCGGCGTCGAAAAGGAATGTCTCGCCTGTAAGGGAACTCATGGATGTGACTCTTTTGCCCAGTTGGAAATGGCAGCGCGTGAGAGATGCCCAACTCTGTTTTAACTGCCGGAGACATGGAGAACGCAGCGTAACTTGCAGAACACCTAATCAATGCGATTCGGAAGGATGCAAGAAACGCTTTCACAGACTCCTTCCTTGACAAGGAAAACACAGTATTTTCAGCAGCTCACATAACGAGCTCAAAAATCCTGTTAAAAATAATACCAGTATGCCAACATGCCAATGGCAGAGAAGTGAGCTGGAACAAAGGTTCCGCCGTATCGCTTATGAACGAATCTTTAACCGAAGCGGTAGAATTACATGAACCAAGGCAATGTTTAACATTGCAATGGTTCGGAGAAAGAAGAACAACAGAATTGTCAAACCGGATCAACGTTGTATTATCTGGAAGCAGCGGCGAAATGATTAATAATACACTCGGAGTACCAACGGTGGAGGACCTACGGCAACCCATGCAGACTGTAAACGTTTTCAAGTTGCGTGACAAATATCGTTATATGAAAAAATTCCAGTCGAGGTAAAATAAAAACAAAATTACTAATTACTAAGACAACGTATACCTGATAGTGCCCAAGGAATTAAGATCATCAGGATGGACTGGACACGAAGTAGCCAAAACGAAGTTGGGTTGGGCTCTGAAGAATCAGACTAATCTACTACAAAAGGAGTAAAACTATTTGTAATATATGAAGACGATCAATTAGAGAAACTGGTGCAAGACTATATAAAAAATTCAGAGATGGATGCACGCCCTTTCAAGCAACATATTGAGCGTCGAGAAACGAAGAGATGCAGGCAGCCGTTATTAAGGAAAGCAAAGATTGGGAACTGGATTACTTTGGAAGACAGACAAGGTTATTCTGCCTGATCGTAAGAAAATGGCTTAACAACGATTTTTAGCATTGGAAAGAAAATTTAAATTGGATCCAGAGTTCTACGGAAAATATTGTAGTCTAGTGGAAGCATACGAAAACAAGGGCTATGTCAAAAAAAACAACATGATTGAACAAAAAACATTCGAAAATGAATGGTACCTTCCCCACTTCTGAGTTCCAAATCCAAACAATCCAGGGAAGTTAAGGATTGTGTTCGACGCGTCTGCAGAGTATCCTTAAATTCGAATCTTATGAGTGGACCCGATATATGTCAATCAATAGGCGCACTTCTAATTAAATTTGACAGAGAAAGATAGGTGTATGCGCAGACAAACCTGAAATGTTTCATTAAGCTATGATACGAAAGCAAGATCGACCATCACAATGTATACTTTGGAGAAAAAAGAATATAATAAATATATAATATACATTTTCTTGAGAACGAAACATCTTTAACGGAAGCAGTCAACGCCATAATAATGAACGGTTTCGTCTCAGAATAAAGCTGTAAGGACCACGAGATAAAATTGAAGTCCACAGCTCGTCGTCTTAAAAAGTCTTTTCCATTTCAAGAGCCTTAATGGTATATTCGGCGACGGGGTGTTTGCGATTCGGTGAGTCTCGTCAAGGATGTGATCACACAGAAGATATTTGGAATGTTCTGATGCATAAACAGCGATTAATTTTGGTGTTAGCTCTTGTTCGTAACCTTATCATTGTAAGTAACTTGATCATTGAAAGATTGCCGATGAATGGTTGTTCAATTGTCATTTCAGCCCACACCAAGGATGATGATGGGAAGGCTTGGTGAAAGAGATTAAGGCGTGTGGTAATACAGGAGCCTAAGGGATGACGTGTTGTACAGACTTATGTGCAATGCTGGAAATATAGTAAATGCTCGACCTCACGCATATTGCTCTGAACAGCCCAGCAGACGACCCGATAACGTCTAATCAGTTTCATTTAGGTACTGCTAATTACCCCCAAACTCCAAGCCCACAGGACAAAGGTTTTCAGCCCACCAAAAAGGATTGCCGCGTCGTACAACAGCTGACGTACTCATTCTGGCGTAAAAGGCTCAATGAGTACCTCGCAGATTTATTCAAGCGAACGAAATGGCTTAGCCCGTGCCGCCTCTTGAAGTAGGATACGTTTTTATCATATACGATGGTGCCGTTCATCGCTCGCAGTGAAAATTATTAAGGATCAGCTCAACTATAAAGAGCAGCAACGGCCAGGTTCGCTCAGCTACTGTACACATCGCTTCTGGATCTTTTCGCCGCCCGACTTGTATGCTGGCGAAACTAAATGCCAGTGCATCTTGGAAGCATTAGATTCACGGCTGGGGGATGTTGTAGAGAATAAGTTAATTTTGAAAAATAACGTTGAATAGTTTGTTTAAGTTGTTGATAGTTTTCGATTTAAATAGTATTTAGTATTTTGCAAACCGTATGGTCACACTGAATGTAATTGATGCCTACTTTCGGTCATTCAAGAAAAAGCGTAGAAAGAGACGAAGCGTATGTATTATTGAGGTAAATCAATTTAATGTAATTGCTATAAAAAAACAAACAGGAAATAAAACTTAATATTGCGAACGGGGACGCATCGGATCTAAGGATTTAAATTTGGTCAGATCGATGCGGTTTTATACACATAGCAACGCCAGAATTACAACAGTATTTAGCTAGAAGTTCGGGAAAGCTTTGTCATACATTGGAGAAGTTAACGAAATCACAAAGATTGTTTGCAACCAAATCGACGCGACATTATTTAGCCATATGCATGAAATTGATTATCAAAATGTATTATATATTTAAAAATCCACAAGTTAGAATTAAAGGAATAAGATATTTATTTATGTATACGAAGGCAATTATCAGCCATAGCCATATCTAACGGGTTGCTCAACAATTAAAAAAATATATAAATATAATACAAATTTATATTAAAAATGTTTCAATAAATAATAAATAAATTTAAAATTTAAATTTTTTAATCTTCAAATACAAAACATATATCGCCCGAATAGAATCCACTAGTTTGGTATTGGAATAATTTTGAAATAAATGTAATCAATATTGTAATTAAAACACATCTTTTTTATCCGGCTCTTGCCAGAATATTCAGACGAACACTGATCAATATAAAGTTCAAAATTCTAAGAGCTGACTATGTAAATATATATTGAGCCATAATTTATGAGATTGTGAGAGCAACGGGACACGATTTCGGAGACCTATAGAGAAAGATTACAGTTAGGCGACCGATCACAATGGCCTCAATAGACGACAAGTGTCCTCTTAAAGATGGACGAAATCAATATAAGTCAGTTCAAAACGGAATTAGGGAAAAACGCGAGTCGGTTGACTTATACGGTACTTGAATATGACCTAGGCGCTAGTAATTACTTCAGCGAAGTTTTCAGTGAGGAGCAGTTCCGCACCATTTTCATGGTCGGAGGAAATATCCTTCCACGCCAGCAGCACTGACACTGACCGATTCCAATTTGAGGAAGCAGAAAAATTTTTACACTTTATTCCAAATTGAGAAAGCAGGAAAATTTGTACACTTCATACGAGTGATCCTCCTTCTGCATTTTGAAAAAGCTCAGCTAAAAGCGCAGGAAGTATACAACGCGCTAGAAGGGCATTGTTACTCGAAACTCTGCAACTATATCAGTCAGGCACTCGAGTACCAAAACAACATTTTGATGAAAGACTTTTTAATATCCTAATTTTTATGTCTATAAATATATATTTAAGTCAATTTAATTTTACATTTGTAATGAAACTTCCTCAATGGTTTGTATAAATAAAGAATCATACAGCTACCACTGCCTACAAATGTTACGTACACCTACAGGGTTGCCCATCTAGCGGTTGCTTTTTAAACTACCATTTGTATCGACTTTGACAGCATTGCCAATATGGCAAATATTTATTAAAGGTTTGCGGTTTAAAGAAATGTACCGAAGATCGTTTGGAGGAAGATCAGATCAATATCCACTAATTTTTTATTGCAATAATTTTGAAATAAATGTAATCAATAATGTATTTAAAACACACCTTTTTTATCCGGCTCTTGCCAGAATATTCAGACGATCACTGATCAATATAAAGTTCAAGATTCTAAGAACTTAATATATAATTATATCTGGAGCCCTAATTTATGACCTGTAAATCAAATCCTACAAGGAAGCAGTTTTAGCACTTGTAGCGGATTTGCATTCACTTGAGCCTAACTAAATATAAACACTGAAAATGTCTTACTGCCTGTGCGGCCCAACGCTTTTGTAATTAATGCAATCAAAGGTGTATAAAAACATTTATTATTACTTATCAAATATTTATCTTTTTAGAATAACAAATGATGCTAGAGAGGATGAAATGGAGGAAAATATGGGTCAAGTAAACACAATGATTGGCAATCTCCGTAACATGGCATTGGATATGGGCTCTGAATTGGAAAACCAAAACCGTCAAATTGACAGAATTAATCGAAAGGTAAGCTTATAACTAATTAAAAAAAGGTAAAGAGATTTATACCTTATTAATATTAAAAAGGCTTGCTGATAGTTCTAGGAGTTTTGTTTTTTTCGCATTGTAATGTAGTTTTATCTAAACCTTTCCCACACAGCTGGGAGTCGTAAGTTCAGTTTTAGTGCAACGCTGTTTCCCTTACCGACGGATTATTCTGCTCACATAACAGTCAGTTAAAAATGCAACTTAAACAGGAAAACCATTTTTTTTATGTAAAAGTTTTAATCGGGAGCAAGATCAGATATTGATCTGGCCTACATAACTTTCAGAACTTGGAGGAAAAATCTACTAGTGAATTCGGCCGATAATCAGTTATTGGTTTACCACTGAATCTAGTTTTAAACAAGAATGCCTACCAACCCCTCTAATCTTTTCCTATTTTTAAGCAACATTACTGAACATCTGCCTTGCGGCATTCAATAAGGCGGGTTCGCGATTAAGGCGCTGTTACACGCAGATGATATTGTGACACTAGCGGATTCACCCGCCGAACTGGAAACAACGATTAGCGCTCTGCACAAATACTGACTGTTGTAGGGACAGCAAGTTCTTATTTTCAGAAAGCACTGGTTGGGGCTATCAGAAAACGAGTGAGCTAGAAATTGCCAGGTCCTATAAATATCTGGGAGTCTGGATTCAATCACCATTTATAGGAGGAACTCAGAGACGCAGAACTGGCTATAAATTGCACATGGAAATTGCTGTTGATTAAAAATGAGGTTCCAATGAAGAGCAAGTACAATTTCCTTAGTGCATCAAAGCGGTCTATGTTTTGCTACAGCGGAAAGGTCTGGGGCATCGTCTACCCAGATTTACCCCGAATAGAATGTTATACCTTGAATGCGATACCTTACAGCTGAATTACACTACAGTTATATTCAAAAAGTTTTCAGCATAACCGAGCAAAGGCTGTCATGTTCCATGCCATGACGAACGAGAGCAACGGTCGTAGAATCGGACACGCTTGCGCAGACCTATAGAGAAAGATTACAGTTAGGCGACCGATCACAATGGCCTCAATAGACGACAAGTGTCCTCTTAAAGATGGAGTCAGTTCAAAACGGAATAAAGGAAAAACGCGACTCGGTTGACTTAAACGGACCTTGAATATGACCTAGGTGCTAGTAATTACTTCAGCGACGATTTCAGTGAGGAGAAAATCCGCACCATTTTCTTGGACGGAAGAAATATCCTTTTACTTAGCTTCATGGCAAATGTGTCAGCCAGCAACACTGTGTGACCGATTACAATTTGAGGAAACAGGAAAATTTTTAAACTTCATACGAGTGATCCTTATGCTGCATTTTGGAAAGGCTCAGCTAAAAGCGCAGGAAGTATGCAACGCGCTAGACGGGCAATGTTAGTCGAAACTCTACAACCACATCAGCCAGGCACTCGAGTACCAAAACAACATTTTGATGAGAGACTTTTTAATATCCTAATTTCTATGTCTATTAATATATATTTAAAATAATTTAATTCTACATTTGTAATAAAACTTCCTCAATGTTTTGTATAAATAAAGAGTCACACTACTTCTACCACCTCCTACACATGTTAAGTACACCTACAGGGTTGCCCATTTGTTTCGACTTTGACAGCATTGCCAATATGGCAAATATTTATTAAGGGTTTGCGGTTTAAAGAAATGTGCCGAAGATCGTTTGGAGAAAGATGAGAATTTGTATCAAAAAATGATGTTGTTAGAAAAATCTCATTTTCACCTCGGTGTTTATGTCAATAAGCACTTGCCGCACTTGGGCCTCCAAAAACCCGCAAGTGGTCTTGAAGAAGACAATGCATTCACAACGAGTGGCTGTTTGATGCGGTATGTGGTTATTGGCCCGAAAAATATGCCGCCGTAACCGTCAATGGTGACGCAGCATGTTGGAGCACTTTGCTTTCCGCGAATGGAACATGAAAACATTAAATAAATATTTTCTAGCAGGAGGGCACTTCGTGTCACACAGGTAACGTTAGAGTCTAACTTCTGGGCGGTACGTTCGAAAATCGAATAACCAATTATTTGTTTATAATAAGCCCAGATATATTTGCCTATATTTAACACGCCTCACAAGGATGGTCTTTGATTTCATGTTTGTTATGAACGGGTGAGCCAGAAATCCCAAGAATTCGGGTAGAAGGCATTCTGTTTCTGGTGCAGTTCATAGTTTTTTTTTTTTTGTCAATCACCAGTTGCTTTTATAGGAGTCACCTGAGTGTATCACGGCCAAAAATCAACAGGTTCGCCGGGTGCCATCTGCGGAGACTCCGACATTCAATGGTGTTGCAAGACGTCTATCCAGACGGTACTTAGTTCAATTTGTCCCTTCCAACAAGGGCGACGGTCTAGGGTAACAACAAGATAGGTCAACTTGTCTCCATGCTTGTCCCGCCCCATCATTTGCGGAAGACCTTGTGTGGCATGCTGCGTTTGGTCAATGTTCAGTGCAATCTTCCACCGAGAAACCCAACAATCGAATTCATTTAAAAAAAGAAGGGACACGTCGGGATACAGACGAACGGACCAAGGTTCAAGGAGGCATTAAATAGATGACAGATCTGCGTAATGACTGAGTTTGGCAGAGCCAACCTTGCCGTCAATTGCGTCCATGGTAGCTTTACTTGACGTCTAGTTTTTGCACGCACATCAATAGGACGGCCAACAGGGACTCCTTATCTAGAAATCGTTGCTTTGACTTCTTGGCTTGTTGCTATGGAGAAAAGCGGTTCTCCAGATCATTTCCAAATACTTTAGCAATCTCGGAATTACTTTGGGCCACCCTTACGTTTAAGGGAAAACCTTTTAGGTTGCGGGCGTGTTTCCACAGCGCAAATTCGTGATTCTGAATAGGATCAACGGCTCTGAGTTTGTGCAGAAAGAATTCAGACTTGGCCGGACTAAGGACTTTTCTTAGCTCTGACACAGCAATCTTCAATCTTGTAATGTCAATGGTAAGTTTTGCTCTCTTCCAGACGCTGGGGAGTGCATGACCCTTCCTGGCAAAGGCAGTCATTTCTGGTTTCGAAGTCTTGGTGTACTGGTGGTGGAATAGGAATACTTCTAGCAGGAGCTGCAGCGTGCAATAAGATCCGTTTGTAATTCTGAACAGAGGGAAATTTCGCTTCGTTGCAAGCATAGCATACTTTTCCTTACGTAACTTAAGCAATTACTCTTAATATAAACATGGCTAAAGTAGTTTTAAGTTATATAGCTAAGTTATATTTTAATGTGTGTGTAACCCTGGATATATTCTGTGTGTGCTATCCCTGGTTTGTAAAAGTATCGATGTGTTTTGCATCCCTAAAAAAACGCACGGACGAAAAAGAGCGAGGCATTCGAAAAAGCGTGGCCGGTGCGATCGAAGGAAAAGCTGAATAAAAGATAATTAAATTAAAGCAGAACAAAGAATACTATAATTCAGAAGTGGTAACTGAACCTAACCAAGTTATATTGGAATAGGAAAATATCTGTTAACATGGCTTCACGCATTAATCTCGGCGAACTAAAATTAATGGAAATCAAAAGTTTCTGTGAAAAACTTGGCATGCCCACAAAGGAAAACAAAGCCGCACTAATTAAGCAGTTAAGTGCTGTACTACCGTCTGAAATTGATCCGGAGTTGTACTACGAAAAGGTGGAGTCTACGATAGGTGAATGCGAAATTGGTGTTGAGATGGCTGTCGCCAATGCAGCCAACAACAACAACGAAGAACAAGACGGCGAGATGGCTTTCGCCAATGCAGCCAACAACAACAACGAAGAACAAAGCGAAGAAGAAGATGAAGACGTTTTCGGCAACGAACTTTAACTTGTCGAGACAGTTGATCGTGGTGGCGTTCAACCTTCAGGAAACGGCGTTCAACTTCCAGGAACCGGCGTTCAACCGAGTACTTCAACCTTCGGCGTTCAACCAAGTACTTCAACCGTCGACATTCAACCAAGTACTTCAACCTGTAGTGGAGTATAGAACCACATATAGTATGTTTAGTTGCGCCACCTAGCGGGCGGTATCGGCTGTAAAGGGCAACCTTAAGAGGGGAAGATTAATCGTCAATAGGTAGGACTGCATTAGCGTTAACGTTTTTAGCGATAGCCCAGCTCTAATCCCGGTGTAACCCATCTTGTAATATCCGCCCTCGAAAACCTCATGATTTCTTCTTAATCTGAGTCTCGACCTGAGCGGTTGTATAGCTGGCAAAAGAACAGCGATAATACAACTAAAGTACAAGCGATAATACAACTAAAAGTAAAGAGGTTGTGGCCGATCAAGCCATAAGGCATACGGTATTACAGTGGCAGTGAACCAATTCTTGGCCAGATTCTGGCCAAAACGGTTAGTTACCACACCCTCACGGGTAAGTCATAACCTATAACCGGTGCAAGTGAACATGCCCTCATTCATGCGTTTTATTTGTCAGAGGGGACGGCGTTCTTACATGCCCTTTCGTCGCCGAGTACCTCCGGCGATCATATCGTCAGTCATTTCTGCCCCAAAAGGAAGTTCAGTTCGTCCACGTCTTCGTCTAAACCCCGGAGCAGCGAGGAGAAGGAAACGCCATCAGGAACTCAACATAACCAGCGCCAGCAGCATGCCGCAATAAGTTTTCAGTGCATTTTTTTTGGTATCATGCGTCTGTCGACTTAATTAAATTGCATACCAACAAGTGTTTCTAAACCCGTCTGTGCTCTCATAATCTGCAGCTATGGCCTACAGTAATTAAATCCCAGTATTTCCCATAGTGAAGTGTCTAAAACTAAGTCAGAATAGTGCCCAAAGGTAGACGCAAAGCAAAATGCGTATATAAATGTAAACGCAAACTAAATGCAAATATAAAAGTAAACAAAGAAATGCATGTATACAAGTGATCGCAAAGCTGAGTACATATAAAAGTAAATGCAAACCTTAATGTAAACACAAAAGTAAAAGCAAACCCAGATTTTTACACAGATAAAATGAAGT